GGGTTTATGGGATGTATGTGTATGCGTGGATCTAAACGCGATCTTAACCATGTCATGTGACCCCGCAAGTCTCAGTGGTGCATAGCAGGGGATGCCGGTACTGTAGCAAGAGAACTGCTCATACATGTAATACCTATCCCCTCCAGTCTTGAATATCTCATATTTACCCTCATAAGTTTGGGTTACTATGACTGGGCTGCTGTTTAGCAACTCAAACTAAGTAATGAGGAAACCCAATTCTTCACTATATACCCATATTATGACAACTTAATTTGTGTTCCTTAACAGATGCGGAGTGCCAAGTATGACAAGGTCTATTGTTTAGAGGAAACAATTGAGTTGAAGGACAGGGTACACATGAGCTATAATCTAAACTCCTAGTATCCCCCTGAATAACCCCTCTAGCAGTCTCCTATATCATCCCTCATATAGCCCTCCCCGTAAGGAGTTTAGACTATAGCTCAAATGGCTGCTCTTGCCGAATGACTCTGACACGGCGGCCACGCAGAAGACCGGAAGCAGGACCAAGAAGATCTGCAGAAGGTGGCCTCACTCCATAGGGTTTAGGTTTTCAAATTTCAGGTCTGGGATTTAGGTTAGGGTTGGGGGTTTAGGGTTGAGGGTTTAAGGTTAAGGGTTTAGGGTTTAGGGTTTAGGGTTGAGGGTTTAGGCTCAAGGGTTAAGGGTTGACGGTCTCAGGGTGTAGGGCTTGGGGCCCCTTCAGGTTTCTAAGCAGGAACGCCTGGCTTTCAGTGACCTTGTTCTGAGTATTTGCATGTAATTTTCTGCGTGACGAAAAGGGAGCTTCAGAGGGATATCGGGCAGTATGCGGAGTGATGCTTAGATCTTTGGGACTTACATCCGATCTGTTTGAAGGTTGGGTCACGGGTGGTCGTGCTCGAAACTTGCAAGCATAGTAAGCATCTCACATAGAGGATTCTCAAAAACCGAGCCGGAAAAAAACAGAACGATTGATTTGGAGAAACTCCCACATGTGTGTTGTCCTCCCTGCGGTACTCTCTGCTCCTGCTAACATCCTCCGTCCCAAAAGATTGAGGTCCTGCCAATCCGAGACCACGGCCTTAAGACGCCCAGAAGAAAAACGCAATCATGAGCCAAATAGTCGAGAAAGTTTACAGAGGTCTCTTGGGTGACAGGAATACTAGGCACCTTCAAATCATGCTCCGAATTCTCACACATCTCGGATTATATTTTCAGAACAACCCCAGGTTGTCATGTCGGACATCTCCATGGAGAATTCCCTAAACCTCAAACTCTAAACCTAAACTAAACCCGAAACCCTAAACCGTCCCAACATGTTGCAATCTTGGTTTGGCTGCGGCACCACTATGCACCATTAAGCATCTGAGTCCAGAGTTAGATCACCAACGGCCTAGGGTTTCGGGCTTAGGGTTGCGGATCTCAGCGTGGTGGGACAGCTGCGGGACAACACTCTGCCCACGCAATGCTGCTGGAATGACCCACCCAGCGCAATGTCTCCACGGCTTGAGGGCACGTCAGTCATGACACAGTTCCTCCTGCTTAAAAATCTAAACACGTCACCAGACCGGAATCAAGGAAATGCCGCCCATGGATTGGCCCCCCGACAGATACCGCTTTTGATGAAGCTCCTGATTATAGGGAAGGGCACCCCCAATTTGTTGAAACCCCCACCTTTTTTGATTTCAAGAAACCGCAATGTCAAAAGCTCAGCTTCAGGCACACGATGTTCACATTCAGATTCGCCTCAGCTAACTGTGAAATGCAAAAAGTCCAGCACTTGGGGTATCACAAGATTCGGGACCCTTTTTGGAGGTCCCGAAACACATACTATACTCTACTAAACTATACTATACTGTACTATACTATATTATACTATACTATACTATACTGTAGTATACTATACTATACTATACCATACTATACTATACTATAATGTACTGTACTATACTGTACTATACTATTTTCTAGCGAGCACTGCGAGCTCCCTCCAGAACCGGGCAGAATGAACTTCGGAGGCCAAGAACTATGTACATACATGTGACTCAAACNNATTGTGATTGGATTACCTCACGTATTACCTGGAGAAGGCTTAAAGCCTTGGTGTGCCAGCATTGGCACTAGAAAGGATCGAGCCTTTGAATAGCCTGTCGCTTGACTGTCTCCAGATGTGCAATATCCTATACTGTACTGTACTATACGGCATCGCACCACGTCAAGGTGTTTTCGGAAACTAAACCCTGAACCCTAAACTACCACTTGTCCGCATCCTAGATTGGACAGGCGTGCGTAGCTCTGCTTCCACGGTACGGTGGGCAACATATGGCACTCTTTCGGACTCCACTGATGGGGAAGGGTTTAGGGTTTATAGTCCCCCTAAGTAGATAGAATATGGCTTTGGGTATATTTTAATAAGATCCCCATATACCCCAATTGCTATCTACTTAAGGGGCACTATAGCGTTGCACCCAAAAACCGTCAAACCTCAAAAATCGCGGCCCCTAAACAGCCCAACACCTATAACCCCCTGCACCCACAGCCCTGAGCCCTACGTAGCCCCTTCAGACCCGATACCCTAGACGCTAAGCCCTGACCTAAGCCTTGGACCCTGCACCCCTGGGTTTTTCTCCCCTGATCATCCGCCACCTGCCACCAAGTCGTCTCGTGTAGTGTCTTGGGTTTAGGCCTTGCTTGAACCCTGAATGGATTGCAAACCTTACGTGCACCCGAAACCCCAAATGAATCCTGAAGCCCGAAATCGTACATCCTAAGCCCTACACCCTAAGCCCCTCAAACCCCTCAAACCCCACAACCTTGAAAACCTAAATCGCGAAAGCCTCAACCCTAAAACCGTCAATCTTAAACCCGAACCCCTAAACTAAACCATAACAAACCCTAAACCATAAACCCTTACCTAAACCCTAAAACCCTAAACCATAAACCCTTACCTAAACCCTAAAACCCTTAAACCCTAAACCCTAAAGCCCTAACACCCTAAACCCTAAACCCTAAAGCCCAAAACCCTAAAACCCTAAAACCCTAAAACCCTAGACCCTGAAGCCTATGTCCTGCGCGTTGCACCCGAGCCACCGGTACCAAGAGACCCGCCAGCAACACGGAAAGAGGTGGGAAGCTGGCGGCCAGGGCCGCATCCTTCAGGGCGGGTTAGGGTTTAGGGT